TGGACACTCTGCAATAATTTAAAAGTTTATTTTATTCTCAAACCTAATTTGTATTTATTTTATTCCAAACAGAAGTGTTTATTTATTATTCTGAAAGCTCGAGACAGTGCCAATAGTTCAGTGATATTTAGTTAAATTACAATGTGGAGACTCTGCAATAATTTAAGAGAAGTGCTTATTTTTCACTTGAAATTTTTTTGTGGTCATTTTTATTACGATTTTATTTTTTATCGGCAGAGAATAAAATAAAACCTGTCTTCCAATTCATTGCATTTGTGTGTGTGTGAGTGTGGTAGAAGTATCGGTACTCAGATCCAAGTATCGGTATTGTATCGGTTTGAAAAAATTGGTATCGTTGCATCCCTAATAGATATTTATAGATATGTATGTATTTGGTCATTATCCAACTTTTTCTCTGTGTCCTGTCAGAATGTGATGCCTCTATCAGCTGGTCTGTTTAAGAGTGAGAAGAAGAACCCAGTTTCCCAGTGTCCTCCACGGCTGCACGTACAGTTTCTTACTCCTGTTTTATGGAGTCGTGTTTCCAACCACTTCCTTAAGGTAACAGTGTCTTACTATAGTTCTGCATTACTATTACAGGCCCGGGACACAAACCTGCCACCTGCAAACTCATGCAGAGTGTGTACACTATCTGCCCTTCATAAGCATCTCATATAATAAAGCACTACTTTTAAATTAAATCTCATGCCACTGGCATGCCTGTTTATTTCCCCTTAAATGGTGCCACATTTGTAAGGAAAACACGTTTGGTTTAGTATGTGGATTTTACCGATGAAAAACTTGACAAATCTTCTCTGGTAGAAAGAGCTTAATAGTCTAAGACAGCTTTTCAAGTAATGGCCCATTTTATAGTCCATTTCTATGTCATCTGTCACAGAGACTCAAATGGCATTAAATACAATATCATGTGAAAAAAAAACATTTGCCCCGTTGCTGATTTCTTATTTATTTTCCTTCTTTTTAAAAAAAAAAAACATATTTAACATATGGTTAAGCTCAAACACATTTTAATATTAGACAAACATAACCAGGTAAATCCAAAATATTTGCAGTAATAACTGGTTGTGCCATCCTTGGCCATAAATCTGTCAAAGCACTATGAAGGAATTTTAGCAAAGTGTTCATTTGTATATATTTTTTTTCATTTAGACTTGGAATTGATGGTGTGCTTGGGATCATTGTCCTGCTGACGACATACAGATCTATTTCGAATTAACCGATGATCCCGTTATGTCTTTGCACGGCTTTCACGAGTGCATGCACGAGGTCAAAAATTGGCTCGCAGGTAATTCTCTTATTCTAAATGACAGGAAAACTGAAATTATCGTGTTTGACAATAGTATCCCCCGTGGCCAACTCCGTGATGGCCAACACCCCAATCCAGCAGCTGAATCATCTTTAGGAGACAGTCCTGGCACTTATTGGGTTTTTTGGGTGCCCTGAAGCCTTCTTCAGAACAATTGAACCTCTTTCCTTGAAGTTCTTGATGATCTGATAATCCGATGATCCAGTTGATTTAGGTGCGATCTTAGTAGCAACAACATCCTCGCCTGTGAAGGCCTTTACATGCAACACATTGATGGCTGCCTATGTTTCAAGCATCACCCTTCTTTTTAACGCATCCAGTCTGCTATTCTAATTCATCACCAATATTTGTGTCATTCTCAAAACTTTTGGCCACAACTGTATATACCAAAATATTCTAAAATCAAAAGTGATGACAGAGTCATTTTTCTGATAGCTAAAGCTTGGCCGAACAACGTGTATGTCAGGAATGCAAAGGCAGGACGATGGAGATGGTGTTAAACTGAGGGAACCTCGTGTTCCCCTTCAGTGATGGAAAGGAGCGGAGGTTCATATCCCAGTGAAACCTCAAACAGTGACAGACCACTGGCTGAGGAGGTCATCAATTTATGGGCATATTCCACCCATGACAGCTGAGAACTCTGGTAGGACTGTTAAGAAGAAACCACACAACATAGAGCTGCCTCCAGCTCCTGATTGGCCCTCTCTGCCTGCCCGTTGGTCTGGGAAAGACTCACTTGAGCCACCAGAACAGAGCAAAAACTCCTTTCAAACCCATGACGTGAACTGTGGACCCCGATCGGACACAATGTCTTGAGCTATGCCAAGGCAGAACAATGAACAGTCAACAGCTTTGCTGTCTCCAAGGTGGTGGGAAACTTGGGCAGAGCAATGAAATGTGGAGCTTTAGAAAAACAATCCACAATGGTCCGTATGGTGGCATTACCTGAGGATGGTGGTAGTCCACTCATGAAATCCAGGGCGATGTGCGACCAGGGTCTCCTGGGAATAGGCAGGGACCTGAGAAACCCAACTGGTGGAGAGTTGGAGGCCTTATAATGCGCACAGGTATAACGAGCAGAAACAAAATCCTGGACATCTCGAGCTAGAGACGGTCACCAGAACAAGCGTTACATGAGTATTATTGTGCGGTTCTTACCCACAGTTAAACTTAGCAGAGTGGGCCCACTGAATCCCCTTGCTGCACACTGCGGTGGGTATGTATAGTCAGTTAGGAGGGCCCGTTCCAGGGTCGGGTTTTTCCCACTCTGTGTTTTTCATTAGACCTTCAGTATCCCATGTGAGGGCCCCTATGATGCAGGCTGCAGGCAGGATGGTCGGATTGAACCGAGTGAAGAACAGGGCCCACCTGGCTTGGCAATAGTTGAGGCGCTTCACCGTTTGCAGGTACTTGAGGTTTTTGCGGCCTTTACAGATGATCAGTGGCTGCTCCGTCCCTTTTAGCCAGCACCTCCATTCCTCCAAGTCGAGCTTTATGGCCAGCAATTCTCGATCTCCCTCGTCATAGTTCTGCTCAGCCTGAACGAGAGAAATATGCACATGGGGGAAGCTTACCCCCAGAGTGCTGGGATAACGCCGCTCCAACTCCCAGATCCGACTTGTCCACTTCTACTATGAATGGCTGAGCAAAGTCTGGTTGCAGCAAGATGGGCATGGAGGCAAACTTATTTTTGAGTTGGGAGAATGGTTGCTGCGCCGCAGGAGCCCACCACAAAGGAACTTTGGGAGAGGTTAAACATGCCAAGGGCAGAGCAATGCGACTGAAATCATGGATGAAACGCCTGTAGAAATTTACAAAGCCCAGAAACCTCTGCAGCTGCTTATGAGTCTGGGGTCCGGCCATTCTAACACTGCCTTAATTTTAGCTGGATCCACCTGCAGCTGGCTCTGGTAAATGGCCTGTATTTGTATAGCGCTTTACTAGTCCCTAAGGACCCCAAAGCACTTTACACATCCAGTCACACACACATTCACACACACATTCACACACTGGTGATGGCAGCTACACTGTAGCCACAGCCACCCTGGGGCGCACTGACAGAGGCGAGGCTGCCGGCCACTGGCGCCAGCCGGACCCTCTGACCACCACCAGTAGGCAACGGGTGAAGTGTCTTGCCCAAGGACACAACGACCGAGACTGTCCAAGCCGGGGCTCGACCCGGCAACCTTCCGATTACAAGGCGAACTCCCAACTCGCGAGCCACAATCGCCCCATCCCTGTTCCACAATGAACCCCCCAAAAAGCGACAGACTGAACTTGGAACTCACATTTTAGAAATATAACAGGGAGATATTGAAAGCTGTTTTCCACTCATCCCCTTCCTTGATCCTTACTAAATGATAGGCATTCCTAAAATCCAGTTTTGTGAAAATGGTGGCTTCTTGTAACAGTTCAAAACCAGAAGATAACAATGGCAGGGAATACTTGTTCTTTATCGTTATTATGTTTGGAGGGACTTGGCCTTTTTCTCCACAATGAAGAACCCCGCCCTGAGTGGGGACTTGGAAGGGCGGATTATTCCAGCTGCCAGAGAATCACTGATTTAGTGTTCCATGGCCTCCCATTTCGGCTTAGAAAGACTGCACAGGTGACTGGTGGGGAGCGGTGCCCTCGAGAGCAGATCACATCCACAGTCATATGGTCTCTGCGGAGGAAGTGAGAGAGCCAAGTCCTTGCTAAACACTTCAGCTAGGTCATGGTAAACTGCAGGAGGCACCGTAGGGGTCAGGTGCAATGTGTGCTGGGCTGATGGGATGGGGTGGGTATCCAATATCCCTTTCGCCTGCGTCAACTCCCACCTCCAACAGAGTTAGACAGCATTCCGAGGGAGACTGGGGACACTGAGTCCAAATGGTCCATGTTCAGGACCAAAACTGCTGAAGCTGCTGCACTGAGTTGTGGCCGCAAGGTGGTTGGTGCCTGCCATGCACCAACCACCGAACCAGATGTCGAACCAGATGGTCAACCCCAGAGGGGAAGGGAACCATCAGCCATGGAAGGAGTCCTGTTGAGCTTGGTTAGCCTGAAGGACTTCGGAAGCAGCCGGTAGGTACCAACAGGCTAAGCAGAACGAGGCAGTGGCTGAAGCAAATACTTGAGTTTGGGTGTTTCCTCTAAGGAAGGCATGTCAGTGGGATTAAGGAAATCCGCGAAGCATTCCTTCCAACACACGACAATGTCCTCAGTCGAAGTCAGCAGCACATTTGACCATGTCCCTTGGGGAGTCCTGTGGGAGGTGCTTAGGCTGCTGCCCTGTGACCTGGCCCCAATTAAGAGGAAGAAAATAGATGGAGGGATGGATTTTTATTGTGGGATTTAAATAAATTCATTTCCACCACCTGCCTGGGGCCTTTCTGTGTGGAGTTTGCACATTCTTCCCGAGTTTGTGTGGGTTCATACAGACATGCAGTTAGTCGGGCTAGGTTAATTGGCCAGTCTAAATTGCCCGATAGGTAACGGTTTTCTGTCTCTATCTATGGCAGCTGGGATAAGCTTCAGCCGTTCATGGATGGATGGATAAATATCTTTTCATATAAAGTTTTCTGTAGTACTGAAAAATAATCTCAAACGTAGCGTATGTTGTGTATGACTTTTATCCAGGTCTCAGTATCCAGAGCAAATGATCGACATGGCTGGCTGGTGCAGTGTAACAAACCTCTGCAGTTCATGTCTCTGCACATACCTGAGGAGAACAGGTACAGTCCACACAGCTAAACACACACACCTTTTCATCCTTCCTCCCTCACATTTCTCATGCAGTGTGTACCTTTCTGTTGCTCAGGTCGTTGGATATCCTGGAACTGTCAGAGCAGAAGGACTTATTAAAATTTCACTACCATACCCTCAGACTGTACTCTGCCATCTGTGCTCTGGGAAACAACCGAGTAGCTCATGCCCTCTGCTCCCACGTGGATGAGGCACAGCTCCTTTACGCTATAGAGAATAAATATATGCCAGGTAACAGACACACAGCATATAAAGCATAGTCTCATTCTCAATTTTCTATATAGTAAACCTACTTTATAGAAACTCTTGAATTTTTTTCTGAATCTATGTCTATTTCTCAGCATTAGCCTTATAAAATTCCAATTGTCTGAGTAAAACCACAACCCTTAATCGGACAGCTGGTTAAGAATATGAATAGTGTAATTTTTTTTCATTTCATTTAATTTTTTGACCTTGGCACCTTAGATAGTAGGGGTGGGGGAAAAATGGATACTGTGTAGTATGGTGATATTTTGTTTGCTAATAATGTATCGATACAGGGACAGCAGAAATCGATATTTTGTTACAAAAAAGGTTTTGGTGCTCTGACTTCAGAGCATGTTGATCCTTTTTCTGAGCAAGAATCCTGACATTCCTTCACTGTCCAAATGTGTTTAACTTGTTTTTGGCAGCAATAAACATGACAGTTTACTTATTTTCATTTAAGACATGTTTTATTTTAATTAAGTTTAAAACTTTTTTATTTAATGTAAAATTATATTTTGTTTTAATTTACTTTCAAATTCTTCAGTTGCTGAAGGGGCTGCATAGTTTTCATAAACTGCATAGTTCAGAATAGCTATAATTGTACCAGATGGTTGATTCAGTTAAGTTGGACTAGACTGTAATACAAACCGTTCAGTTTGTCAACAATAAAACTGAAATGAGAGAAAGACTGAGTGTGAGACTTTGTTATTAGATAAAATGAATATTGATAAAGTTTACCTTTATGTACAGAATCTGAATATCGCAAAATATTTTTAAAAATTGCAATAATATCGTATCGTGGGATGTATGGTGATTCCCACCTCTATTATATAGTCCATAAAACAATAAACATAAGAAGAATTAATATGTGCAATAGTACTGAACATGATAAAGAAGCATATAAATGTTACAAGGCAGACATCAAACCTGTTCTGTCTGTCCTCACAGGTCTTCTTCGTGCTGGCTACTATGACCTCCTCATCGACATCCACCTGAGCAGCTATGCTACAGCTCGCCTCATGATGAACAATGAGTACATTGTTCCCATGACGAATGACACAAAGAGCATCACTCTGTTCCCAAATGAAAAGAAGAAACATGGCCTGCCAGGCATTGGACTCAGCACCTCTTTGAGACCCAGAATGCACTTCACATCCCCAAATTTTGTTTCCAGGCCCGGACCATCGTGCTTTAACAACGGCAACAGTGGATCAGGAGATTGTTTCCAGTACAGCCCTGAATTCCCCTTAGACATACTGAAAGTTAAAACCATTGAGATGTTGACAGAGGCAGTACGGGAGGGGAGCATGCACGTACGGGACCCAGTAGGAGGAAGCACAGAGTTTCTATTTGTTCCACTCATCAAGCTGTTATATACTATGCTCATCATGGGCGTTTTCCAAAACGGAGATCTGAAGAATATCCTCCGACTGATTGAACCTTCTGTGTTCTGTGAACGACGCAATGAGCAGGATGCACTTTGCAAGGAGATGGAGGTGCTAAAGAAGGGTGAAGCCGAAGGAGGAGGAAAGGAGGGAGTGCTGAATGTCCCCAAAGAAGGACTGTTAGAGATGAAGCTGCCAGAGCCTGTAAAACTCCAGGTGACACTAAGTAGAAACTCCCAGTTTGGAAATGCATTTCTTATATAGAAATTCACTGTTGTTTACCATTTTTGTTTGCTAAGGTAGAGGTCATATTCTGTTTATATTTCAGTTGGGATTATTATAGTTATTCCAACTAGTAGCTAGGACCCTCCATGTGCATGCAAAGAAATCTCGAGACCCAAAGCGTAGAACTGAACAGGCATCAGTGACAACTGATACAACTTTCATTAACTCACATATTACCTGACCTAAGTGATTTTACAGACTGTGTAGAGGTCATGCCAGTTGAAATAGGAATCCCTACATGAAGTAGTGTGTGTAAAAGGACATTAGCTATAAGCTGATGTGATCAGCACCAGGGTTTTAATAGTTTTGCAATTTTCATTAGTTTTTATTTTTATTTAGTTTTGACTTCAGATTTTCAATTTTATA